TACATGAAGTAACTCAGAAGAGCTTCTCCTAATCCTTTTCTCACAAAAGCCAAAAGGCCTTCAGGCTAGGTTTACTGCCAGGTTAACAAATAACTTTATGCCCTACTATACACTGCTAAAATCACTCCAATGGATGATGCTATCACACACCCAGCAGGCAGCTCTGAAGAATCTTTTGTCGTGGTGACTGAGGATTACCAGACCCCTGGTTTTCAAGAAATGAGATGTAAGGCACTAAATATCACGTACATAATGTGCATGATAGACTGGGAAAAATCAGGAAAATAATCTCTTTCTTAAGCCCATTTTCATCTCCAGTGATCATCAATATCAGGATCTAAATTCTGAAACTCCTTTTTTGCTGTTCTAAAGCAGATGGTGGGTTTACTTATTTACAGAACAATCCATCAGGCCTGGCTACCTTGAAAGACCTGTTTTCCAAACCATATCATGGATGCCACTGAACTGGTTTGGTGCATTCAGACCAAAGCACACCCAAATAGCTGGTTAACTATTTAAACAGCAAGTTTGTAAAACACATCAAGAACAAAATCTACCCTTTTGAGATATGACCAAAAGCAAAAAGAACAGCTTATCTACGCACCAGACCCCACACTTGTGTTAGGCATCAACAAAGTGAACTCTGAGATTGCTTCATCTTCAAGGGTGCCACACAAGCACATCAGAACACAGGACTCTGGGAGGTCACTTACACAGAAATGAGAACATCACCTCAAGAGCCATCCCATCAGGACCTCGCAGAGGATGAAGGAGGAACCAGGGCTTGAGATATGGATTCTGTCACTCAAGAAAGCTCAAACCTCCACTGCAATTAAATGTATGAGCCCAGACAACGGTCATCCAGGTCTTGTGCCACCAGCTGGGCTGTGAATGACAGCAGCCAAGGAGACCACAACTTGTGCAGCAGCACCTGTTGGCTTCAAGCAGCTCTTCTCCTGTTTCCTGCAATGTTTTGCTGTCTTCATACACTTTCTGCATCCAGAAACTGTTCAGTTTATAAGATATTACTATTCCGTAGGTCTTCAGAGAAACATGCTCCCCTCATTTTTCTCTGCAGGATACATCTCTGGCTTCCAGAATACAGAATCCACCAAACCTTGATGTTTCTCCACCCTGTTTCATAAAACACTTCCAACATCTAAGAACAACCTTATGAAACAACCAATATGAAAAAAGAAAAAAAGGTTTAAAACCTTGAATGCAACTACATAACTACCCACAGAGTGCCTAGAGCTTCTCACAGTTAAGAAGATGAAGGCCAGAATGTTAACAGTGCCCATCCCAAAAGCTGGACCTCAAACAACAGAGCACCAGAATTACACCCCTATTCCTGCAGTCATCTGTTGGTAGTAACAACAATCCCTTCTATTCTTTGTGTTGTTTCACTTTGTACTTCCAACAGAAATTCAAGCAGCATGCACATGACGGAGTTGGATCCCTCCAACCTAATTAATTCTATGATTGTTAGAATTAAACAGAGGGTGAAGGACGAATTTCTGAGTGTGCCTTCATAGAGCTCCACAGCTTGTTAGCTTCCCCCTGCTTCAGTGACACAGAACCACTGAAAGAAACAGTCAATACAAACTGAATATGCAGAATGAAATCCTTGAATTGTTAACACTAGAAGAGACTTGGAAGAGAGCAAGAAAGTCCCCAGCTTCAACCCCACCCTAATGTGCCCACTGTGTCCTCATGTGCCACATCTCCATGGTTCTGGGACACCTCCATGCATGGTGACCTCACCAGCAACTGTGCTACTCCGTTACTACTCTTTGGGAGCAGAAATCATTCCCAATACCCAACCTGAACCTCTGTTGGTGCGACCTGAGGTCATCACCTCGGAGCAGAGCCGATCCTTATCTCATTGACAGCACCTATTCTGATTTTGCCAATAAAAGGAGAAGGGAAAAAAAAAAAAGGAAACGTGGGAACAAGCAAAAATAACGAACAGAGCATAGAACAACACGAAGGCAACGTGGTAAGGAGAGAAAGATGGATAAACTGCAGTTCTGGGGCCGAGAGATGAGGTAGGACAACCACAGCT